GTGTGTGTGTGTGTGTGTGTCAGGCAGGTGCGGTTTCCGCCAGTACATGCCGTGCAAACCCGCGCGCTACGGACTCAAGCTGTGGGTGGCGTGCGATGCGCGTTCGAGCTACGCGTGGCGCGTGCAAGCCTACACGGGCAAAAGCGACACCGTCGAACGGAACCTGTCGGAGCGCGTGGTCATGGACCTGACCGAGGGTCTGAGCGCGGGCACCYTCGTGACCACCGACAACTTTTTCACCTCGCCGCGGCTGGCAGAGAGGCTGGCCGGCGAACGCGGCGTGTACCTGCTGGGCACGATGCGAGCCAACCGCGCGCCGMGAGACCTGCCGCGAGCGCTGCTGGACGGCGTCGCGGCGACCCGCTACTCCTTCAAGCGCGACGTCTGCGTCGTGTCGTACGCGCCCAAGCGCCGAGGCGGCGCCAAAAAGAAGAACGTGCTGCTGCTGACGAGCGCGCCCGAGCTGATGAGGACCGACGATGACGACGACAAGCCGCTCACGCTGCGGCGCTACAACGCGACCAAGGGCGGCGTCGACAACCTCGACAAGGTCACGGCCGCGTACAGCGTGCGCAGGAGAACRCTCCGGTGGCCCATGGCGCTCTTCCACAACATCCTCGACGTGTCCGCGTACAACGCGTTCGTGGTGTGGCGCGAACTGCGGCCCGACTGGCTGCCGGGCAAACGCGACCGTCGCAGRCGGTTCATGGAACAGCTGGGGCTGGAGTTGACGGAGGCCGCGCGGCGCGGACGACGGGGAGAACAACGAGATCCTCCTCCTCCTCCTCGTCCTCGCGTCGACGATAAACGCAGGCGGTGCAGCGTGTGCCCTCGATCCAGAGACGTTAAAACGCGCGCGAGTTGCGCCGTTTTAACGCATATCGGCGAGTTGCCTCGCAGATATGCCTGGGCTGCGCCGCGTTATTCTGTCCCTCGTGCGCAGCAACCGCGTGACGAGGACAACACTACACAAAAAAAATATTTTTTGTAATAAAAACCTTTATTTTTCATCAACACTACACAAAAAAAAACCACAACTATTTGTAATAAAAAAAAACAACTTTTTTATTTTGTTTTCATACAGACATTCACCATCAAAAACAGACAACTCAATTGGGATTGTATAATAACAATAAAAGAAAGCAACCGTGTGTGTGTCTTGTTATTTATTTCTTTGTTTTATTTTTCATCACATCGCCGATCATCGTTGGAGGGGGGGGGGAACCTTCTCCTCGCACACTCTACACGCGCGCCCCTCTTCGGCGGAGGAGAAGAACATACCCGCGACGGGCGTCGACACAGTCAGCAGCGTGACTCGCCCGCACAAGGGGCAGTAGTCGTGCATTCTCACGGTCGCGGGCGGCGCAGCAAACTCCGTTTTGCGCTCCTCCTCCTTCGATCTTAGGACCCGGTCGCTCGAGTCTCGTGCGGACCGGCCTTCCGATGATGATCCTCCTCCGGCGGATTCTCGCATTCGTTTTCGAGTCATAATGTAGTAGTTGCGGACGCTCTCCGATAAGACTCCGCGGTTCATCGTGCCTTTCTCGTGTGTCTTGGAGTTTTTTTTTCCTTGGGTAATGCGCGTAAATATATCATAGTCCATTCGACGCGCACGAGTGGCACACGTTTCGTTTGCACGGATCTTCTCGAGCGCAGCCTTCGATCGTGACCATCGCGTAACYCTGGYAACCCACGCAGATAAACTCGTAGGTCCCGGGATAGGCCAGATTCTTCTCTCGCTCTCGACGTTCTCTGGCCAGCGCTATTTGATCGGGTTTGATGCGCGTCGCGCGTTTCCTCTGAGCTTCCATTCTGCTTGCTGCTGCTGCTACCGATTCGAACCGTATTTATATGCGCGTGCCCCCCGGACCGACCGACCGGCCGGTCGGTTACACACACACACACACACACACACACACACGGTCGGTAAATATCCTCACAACGACGCGACAAACTCGCGAACGCGAGCCGTCGCGGCCTCGCGTTTCTCCGCGTCGTTCTCAAAGTCCTCGTCTCCGTCAAGAATCAGAACGGGCGTATTCCTCTTCTCGCCCACGAGCCACTCTTCGTGTTTCACGTGGAGCTGCTCCAGGTACTCGAGTCCGACCCCTCGCTCCTCCGCGCGCCCGCGACGCGCCAATCGCTGCGCGCAACGCTCGGGGCTCGAGCGCACGTACACGATTCCGTCGAGGCGCAGCTCGGGCTCGAAGCGCTCCAAGAGCCA